ACTGCTGTCACCTGAGCTTCCAATGAAAGCTCTGGGTCGAGGAGCACTCCCAAGCTGCAGACCTTGTCCCTAAGAGGGAGTGCAACCCCATTCAGGACTAGGTTCAATTCACCCTCCCAGAAGCCCAATCCGCCAACCAACAGGACCTCCGTCTGTTATCCATGATTTGCCATGATAGCTAGATGGAACTTCCCTGATCAATGGTGATATAGCTTTGAATTCCTGCCCATGTCCCCCAAAAACAGGTGCACACAAGCCTCTGATACCACAGAAGACATACAGCCAGCAGGATGGGTAGGCATTTACAGCCTTCTCCTCCACAAATACATCCGATTCACTTTCTGCACCACCCAAATCAGTGATTGCTGCATCTTGTGGAAGTGAATCTCATAGTTTAATTGTGCACCGTTTGAAGGAGTCCTTCTTTTTATCTGCCCTGAATGTCCCATCCATCAGCTTCATGGGATGACCCTTTTGGGTTCTTGGATTATGAGCAAGGGAGAGAAATGTCTCACTATTGGCTTTTCCCACCATGCATAATCGTGTACACCGCTATCGTGCCTTCCGCAGCTCACCCTTTTCCTAACCTAAACCAACCCAGATGTTGCAAGCTTTCCTCACTGAGGGGGTGTAATCCATGAAGTCCAGGGTCTTAAGGTTTATGGCTGCACCGCTGACTATATGAAACATGCTGGACTGGGTAAATCCTGCCAGGAAGGTAGGGAGGTCATCTGTCCACTTCTACAGAGGCAGTCCTCTCTTTGAAGGGCTGTCAGAGGACTGCCCACTATTTTGAAGTCTCTAGAATGGCTTTATACTAAGAAGGCCTTTCAGTTGCCCATCAGCAGCACCTGGACAGCAGGCGGAGCTAGTTGTTACCTTCCACACTAGGTAGAAGTGTTGTATTCCTATTTAAATTACAATTATTTCTAATTTCTTTTTTTAATGATACTGCTCATCCAGCCGGTTGAGCTCTGAACAACGTCACATTAAGACTGAAATAAAATAATTCATTAATATGTGTATCTGTATGCTCTCTGTAAGCAGCCCAGGGACATTTTTAGTAATTGGGATGGCATACAAAAAACTTAAATACATAAATAAAATCTGCATAGATATATATAGATATAGATAGACATATAAATCTTTTTTAAAAAATGTATCTACACGTATAAATTAACATTTGCAAATGCACGCTCCTGTTTGGGATGATGCATTTACTCCTCTTCCTTCGTGGGCAATTCCTACGTGGCCGTCCTACCGGCAAGCAGATCAGCACCCTGGACAGATACTCAGGGAACGCATGTTGCCCACGGCTGCCCTGGGGATTGCGAGGCCTCTTGCGTGCGTGCGGCCTAGGAGTCAGACTCTGCCACGCGAACACCAGCAGGTGGGCTGCTGCTCCGTAAGGAGGAGGGAACCGTGAAGCGTTACCATTTCTGCCTCCAGTTTCCCTTTGGCATCGCTGTCTGTTTGGCTCGGGATGTAGGCCAGGTCTTCCGACGCTTTTTCGCGATCTTTCACTTCGTTGGCGATCAGCTGCTGCAGCACTTCCGCCACCTCGTCCTCCAGGGTGTAGGCTTGGCTTTCTGTAATCTGGAGTGGGGCGGGGGAGCGGAGAAGAGCGGCGGTGCCCCTACCCCATGTCAGCTCTGATCTCTTGATCTGTTCGTTGCTTGCACAGCCCACGTTTCCCCTCCCAGACACGGCTCCTGAAATGCCACCCTGCTTTACCTTCACCACAGCCCTGCCAAGAAGGGAGCAGTGGCTGGCCCAAAGCCACCCGGTGAGCTGAGTGGGGGCTTGATTCCTCCCTGTCCCCCACAGTTGCAACCCGACACTTTAATCAGTTTACCCCACTGAGCCCCTATTTCCACATTTTTCATTGTTTGTTTAGCTGGTCTCAGTCAGTGTTGGCAGTTCTGTCTTTTGGGAGACAGTCCTAGATCAGTGGCCATATCATTAAGCAGCATGAGACACTGGCGTCAGGTGGGAAATGCTGAGTGGTGTGGAGGGGGCGAAGGATTGGAGCACCCCCGAAGGCAGCTAGCCCTGTAGCTCCCAATCCAGTTTGCTGCCTTCGGGTGCTTTCCTCCACCACCACTGAACAATTCCCTGTCCAGAAGGGCAGTGGAGGTGATGGCGGAGAAACCAACGTATCCTTCAGCTCGGACAGCGCGAGGTCTTGGGCTGCACCGATCAACATGCTCTGCATGCAGAAGACCCCAGTCCCAAGCATAACTAGCAGGAATGGGAAAAAGACCTTAAATGATTGGACTTGACCACCTGCAGCTGGACAGACTGCTAGTCTGGCTCAGAATAAAGCACCTTCATGCAACCACATCCTGTCTTTCTACACATGTGCTAATAAGGGGCACGCGCTGGCCAGCTGTTGTGCAGAGCTGGTCTCCCCCAGGAAGCTGGAGCATCCATTCTTTAATTCAATCTGCATTTAGAGATTTCCTTTTGAAATCAACTGCATCTAGCGGAACACTGCTGAAGGCTTAATTGGATGATGTGGAACCCTGTCCCTTGATTAAGAACACCCCCATGCACCAGCTGCTGTGGAACTCGGGCAGGAGTCTGCTCTGGCACTCATGCCTTGCTGGCGGGCTTCGCATGAGCAGCTGATGGGCCACTGTGTGAACAGAATATAGATTATTCTTTTTCTGATCCAGCAGGGCTCTTTTTTCTTTCTCTTTTACTGAATTTCAAACCCAGAACTCAAACAAAAAAGAAGCAAAGGGGGAAAAATAAAAATATTGCCATTTTCTTGCATGGGATTTAAGTAAATCTGTTAAAGTGGATACACATAGACGAGGTACCCCTATAGTACAGTATACTGCAAAGTGTTTCCTTTATATGCTGGCTCTTCCTTTGCTCTCACATTTGACTCAGGGTTGGGTGCTCCAATGCCACCAGGACAGTCAAGCCACAGCTGGTTGCAGTCGGACCTTTAAGGAGCTATCCAGGGTCCTGACACTAGTTTGGAGGTGGAGTTCCGCACCATGGGCAGCAATTTTAAAGTTTGTACTAAATGGATACACCACCCCAATGGCACTGGAGCAACACCCCAATGCGCCAATGCGCGACTGCAGATGGGTGCAAGGAGTGAAAAAACCGAATCAGCTTTCCTGGATGTGCAGGACCACAACTCTGAGCCTCTCCCAGATGTTGTCCAAGTCATTTGAAAGCACCAATTTGGAGGGTGTTAAGCACTCCATTTACCTCTCTGTGCAAAATTCTTTGACACCACATTTCAACAACTGCAAGAGTTTGGTCATCACTTGATATGCTTTAGTTGCATTAATTTAATTCACTGGTGCAATGCCTCCTGTCAACGGCCTTCAAAAATAATTTTAGCTTGCAGAGGATATGTTTCATATACATATCACAAATCACACGGTGATCTCCAGAAACTCTGCAGTGGGGGACTCTAACTGAGACCTGAGCTGCAGTCCAACCTTGAAGCTCTTTTTCATCTGCAACATGTGCAGCATTAATAAGGAGCCATTGTTGATCAAGGGAATTACTTTTCTGCCTCTGCAGTTCTATTTTTCTACTTTCTCAGTTTATTTGCCCATCAGAAAGCCATCCAAGAACTTGGCATCTTTACACAGCATGGCTGAGCTTCAAACAGCAGGTTTAACTGCAGGGCGAGATTGAAACCACTGATTCAAAGGAGCACCCCCTCGTTTTAAGAGAAAACTATTAATTAATTAATGGCTTTTTAAATAGTAACTGAAGCAAAAATAAGGGGAGGGGGAAATCAATTGGGCATTTAAATAAATGGGTGTCTGGAAACTTACAAGGCCCAGATTAAGAAGCTTGGAAACGATCTTGTCAAAGACGCCTCTGTCATTCTCTTCATATATCCGCATGGCAATCTTCTGGACGATGTCCTCAGCTGTTAATGGTGTGCCATCAAGCTGATGGAGTCCATCTGGGTCATCTGAAAGTATCATAGTTTAAGATAGTGGTGCTTGTGGAATATGGTACATGCTGTTATTACATGGATAATGAGTACATTAGGCAGTTTTTAGATACATCTGGACTACCAATGGCTGAGCTGCCTGAACTGCCAGGACTTTTTGACAGACATGGATGGTGATGCCATCTGCCACCCCATTCAGAATTTCTGACTTGGCTGAGTTTAGCCGTAATCCTCACAGTGCATGGAGGGAAATGTATTTTCTTAGCAACAATATATTGCTGAAATCTCCGTTGAAAGGCAGATCGTTTGGGGGTGTCTTGTTCCTGAAAGGGGAATTTGGCTGTACAAAAGACCTGCTCCCCCTAGAGAAGAATACTTTGATGACGCTGATCAACACAGGTGCCTGCATCTTGGACGCTACTTAGGGATGTGGCTATGAGAACTGTCATGATGGCTTCAAAGTTTGCTACTATACCATTGGAAGTGAGTATAGAAAATTGTATACCACTTCCATCAGTACTGCTCTGGGCCTGCTAGTTAATGAGGAACTCCATCCACTTAAGATACTTTTCATTTGTAAACAGGAGTCTAGTGGGACAAGATTGCACGGAGATAAATCTTTCTCAGAGAACTAGAAATTAAATTTAGGTCCAACAAAATGCAGTGTTTATTTTCATGCCACACACTACTGAGAGATGGAATTCACTGGCACAAGTGGGTTGTGAGAGTTGCCAGTTCTTCGGTGACTTCAAGATTGATTTAAAATGCAAGATATAATAGCTAAATGAAATACTCCATGATTAGAGGCAGCATATCTCTGAATACTATTCTTGTTCTACTTGTAAGCTTTTCAGGAGTATCGTACTAGGGAAAAGATCATAGCGTTGAGCTAGAGAACATGCTAAAAATTAAGAAGGTCCTCCTTTGAACCTAGCCCCTCCATTTAAAAGGAACACAGGCAGAGGAAGTAGGAAGGGCTGAGACTTGGTGAAGTTGCTAGTAAGTTCAGTTTAGACCAATGGACTAACTCAGTGGATGGGCCAATGGGCTAACTTAGTAGCAACTTAATACTAAGCTGAGGAGATGTGCTAACTCAGTTGAGGACAGTTTATAAAGGCTGGAAAATAGGACTGGACCCCTCTAGATGTTGGATTCCAGCCCCCATCAGCCCCAGTCAGCTCGGCCAACAGCATCTGGAGGTCCACGGTTCTGGCCAAATACGTTTTGCTGATGGAGATGGAAAAGTTCTTGGCACCTTCCTCCCAAACCAAGGTGGACTCAAGGTTAGGCTGTTGTTTTGATGCCTGTGGCAGATTTCACAAGCTAAGCATTTGCCATCCTTTCATGAAAATCAGTTGTCAAATTGTAGGGCCAGCTCTGCCTGTGAACCTTCCGTCGCAGTTCAAACAAGGATTCCTTAAATTATTCTAAAGAACACCATCTTCATATGCCAATATGATCTGAATGTCAGAGAAATCCACAATGGATTCAACTGAATTTGGATTTCTATGAATCTGACCTGCAGATATTGCAGAGGATTGGCTTTTTCCAAGGACCGTTTTTTTAATTGACATGGGAATTGTGCTAATTCTCATTAACTAATGCTCAGGAACACATTTGCACAGGTGTCTATTAGCACTAATGCAAACTGGGGCAAATAGAAGGATTAAAAAATTGCTTTCCATCAATGAGCAGATGATTGAATGAAAGACACCCAACACTCTACATCACAGATCGGAGTTCTGTGCATCTCTGTTCTGCATTACTCCGTTGGATCTAGTCATGGTGACTTGGGCATGCTCAACAGCTTTCCCATTCAGTTCAGGAGAGACGACTAGTCACATCTGTTGTGTGCATGTAGCTGCCCTCTTTATCAATGTGAATGGGGTAGTCTATAAGTGCAGGAGTTCCCTGAGCTTATGCTCTGTGGAGGAATGATATAATTACATTGCATCCCATGTTAGTACTACTTAGAGTAGGCCTGTAGAGAGGGGAGGCAGGTCTGCACATCCAGCAACTGTCCTTGGTGTTCCAGGATGCGGAACCCATTCTAGGGTGGTAGCGAGGCTCAGCACCACGGACAGCTCTCACAACGCTGACAAAGCTGCAGTGGATGTGGCACTGCAATGACATAGGAGTCAACCGCTTTTCTTGCCTATAGAAACGGATGGGGAATTAAATTAGTCATGATTATGTTCAATTCCTTATAGATAGTCTAGGCAGGACAATGAGTAGACACCACCCATTGCAGTCAAAATTAGTTCCGTAAACAGTGGTTTTTCCCACCAGGCTCACTTTTGTCCTCTATTTTGGTGTTTTTTTTTTTTTTTTAAAGGCAAAACAGTCTTAATATAGTGACAAAACATAACAGCACATTTTCACTATGCAAAAAAGCTTATAGAAGTCTGCCAATCAAATAACAGATGTATTAAAAGGATCCTGGTTCTTCTATCCATGGTTCTCTAATAACATATGGAGACTGCTATGCACTTGGAATGCATCCACGGATAACAGGCAAGGATTTGGCAATGGCTGAGATGTTGTTTGTGCACCAAAGTGAGCTTTGTAGTGCTGTCTGGTTCCTGTGATGCTGATTACTCACAACATCTTTGGCCAGCACCCCACCCCCACCTCCAGATGCCTTGGACGACAGCTAAACGATGTCAAAGAAATCCGTGATGATTCAAATGAATTTGGAGTTTTATGCTTCCAGCCTATGGATTCCCCAGCAGATGGGCTTTTTCTGAGTCACGATTCCATGGACTGTTTGTTGTTGTTTTTTTAAGCTGTTTTTGGTGTGGAAGGATTTGCAAGAATTTGCAATAGCAAATGCAAGATCAAATGCTCAGATCAAGGGCTCTCAAAGTTTGATTCAAACCATGCTGACCATTGGCACAACCCAGACTGAATGGCTTGTTTTGTTTGAACAGTGGTAATTGTAGACATGGGACCTACAAAGTGAACCAATCTGTGCTCCTGAAAAATGTATCAGGTGCAGAACGATGCACCGGGCACAAAGCGATAGAGCCCAAGCAATCACCTTCCCAACTGCAATTCATGCTCCAAAAAGCCACCTCACCGATTGCTTGTTTGTCAACAAATGTTTTCCAGCTACTGAGCATATTTAGACAACAGGTGTGGGGAGTGTATTGCCCCATTTTTAAAGGGATCTTTTCCCCCTACAACTGCAAATTCTGAGGTCCCCTGAAGCATGCTGGAACTTTCTTCTTGTTTCTGATTCCAGCTGTGTGGGCACCAGCTATCTGAGTCCATAACTATAGGGAATGTCGATTCTCTGTGACATTTCCAAACTGCCTTTCAGTTTGAGTTTCCAAATGGTGTGCAATAAAAGCGACGGTAACAATCAGTCAGCCAGTTTTTATGACGCCGCAAGAGTGCTTTTTTTCTTGCAACAGACTAAGAGCTGCTTCCAAAGGGCTATTTTCACTGGAATTTCATCATGTGGGTTAAAGAATTAAACTCTGTCCCGGTTGTGCTGTGGTCCACATCTGGACTGGGCTCCCCACGGATGGCCTTTTACACATGTGCACAAACCAATATGCATCCGTTACTCAGGAGTGAGGCATCTCCAGCTGCTGACAACTTTTGGAAGGCCACTCCCATTCCTGTCCCATCCTTTCCAATCATTTGGTGGGGAGGCCTCCTGGCTTTTGCACCATTTGTCTCCACTCTAAGGACACAATCCCACGCATGTTTAGGCAGAAAAAGACTACAGTTTCAATTTGATTGAAGTATGGGCCCAATTTAAGCTGCTGGTTTTGACCTACAAAGCCCTAAATGGCTTGGGACCAGGACACCTGAAGGAACTTCTTTTTCCCTATATTTCCTCCCACCCCCTAAGTTCTGCAGCAGAGGCCCTGCTCCGGGAACCCTCCTTGAAGGAGGTTAGGGGAGTGAATACCCAGAAGAGGGCCTTCTCTGTGGTGGCACCCCAACTGTGGAATGTGCTCCACAGAGAGGTTTGCCTGGCGCCGACTTTATATGCTTTTTGGCACCAGGTAAAACCCTTTTTATTTGCCCAACATGTTAAGGCTTAAATAATTTTTATCTGGTTATATTAATATTCTCAGTCACATTTTGTCTTGTTATTGTATTCTTTGATTGTCTGTATTATTGTTTATTTATTGTAAGCCGTCCTGAGACAATTGAATTGTATAGGATGGGATAAAAATATTCTAAACAAACGAGCAAATTAATAGAAAAACCACAATGGCAAGCATTCCCCAGCCAACAGCCTTGGGCTCAAAGGGCTTGATGCCCTCGATATGTTCCAGTAGCAAACTCAATCCTCTGGGTACCATTCATGCATCCTAGGGAGAAGTGTTTGAAGACTTTGGGTCACTGTAAGTCTTGCAGAAGGACCTTTGAGCATAATCAGGAGGGGCAGCCCAGTGCGGGTTCAGTGATCATGGCATGCTGGCTGGCTGGCTATGGACTGGGGTGTGGAAGCCACAGGCCAAACATACAAAAAACGAAATAAAACGTATTTTCACTTAATGCTCCTACTGTTGGTAACTGCATTCCATGGGTGGGAAGCCCAACAGCAAAAGGGGCAGGGCCAGAATGCCAGCACCTTTTAGCTTGGCGCAGGGGCCTCCCAATCTTCTCGAATGGGGGAGACGCCAAACCCGAGAACCCTCCAAATGTTGGGTGATGCTGGGGAACAGGGAGAATGGCCATCCGAGCTGCTTGGAGGCCTGGACTGGGAAGTGAGGAAGGCCAGATCTGCTGAGCACACAACTGCACCCTGCATCCTCTGTGTGTACAATGTGTGTTCAAAGCACAGTGTCGGTGTTTGATATACCTTGAAATTTATAGTCCAGACCACTTTTAGTGGAGTCGTAATCGTCCACCAGCCTGCGACTCTTGGTGGAATCAGTGTCATCAAGGGCCAGCTGTTGATCAAACAGGGAACTTCTGATCGAGTCCCCTTCCTTTTCCTTTCTCTCCTTCTCCACTGCTGACTTCAACAGGTTCAGGTCATCAGCCAAGGAATAATTTCTGAATTCTGGCTTGTTTTCTGGAAAATGTATAACATGGCAGTATGAGAAACCATCTCATTGCTCACAGCAACTGGCGAGATGACTGCATCTGTACCAAGCAATAGAAGTTTACCTGCGGAGGCTGCTTTTTTCATTCTGTCTGCTTCTGCCTCTGCAATCTGTTTTGGGGAAAAAGATTGTATATGAGTACGTATGCCCAATTATTTTGCACACAGGTTTGGATTATGGGTGTGCCCTTCCCTGCTCTTTCTCTTTCTTGCTTTCCCTCTTTCTCTCTCAAACACTCTCTTGTATATATTTGTGATGTTTATTCAGGAGCTGGGAAAGTATTTTCTTAAGCAGTGCCCTTTAAGCTAGATCTTTTACAGAAAATATGGGGTACCTCTCCTTCATGGATCCCTGCCTTGTCGTGGCAAAGGGGCTTGCGTAGCTCAATGAAGCTATGAGCTATGCCGTGCAGGGCCACCCAAGACGGACAGGTCATGGCAGAGAGCTCTGACAAAACGTGATCCACTGGAGAAGGAAATGGCAACCCACTCCAGTATCTTTGCCATGAAAACCCCATGGACAGTACCAAAAGGCAAAAAGATATGACGCCGGAAGATGAGCCCCTCAGGCTGGAAGGTGTCCAATATGCTACTGGGGCTAGTACTAGTAGCACCAGAAAGAATGAAGCGACTGGGTCAAAGCCGAAAGGACATTCAGATGTATCTGGTGGTGAAAGGAAAGTCCAATGCTGCAAAGATCTATACTCCATAGGAACCTGGAATGTACGATCCATGAATCAAGGCAAGCTGGACAGGGTCAAACAAGAGATGACAAGACTGAACATGGACATCTTAGGAAACAGTGAACTAAAATGCACAGGAATGGGTGAATTTAGTTCAGATGATCATCAGGTATACTACTGCGGGCAAGAATCCCTCAGAAGAAATGGAGTAGCCTTCATAGTCAATAAAAGAGTAGGAAAAGCAGTACTGGGATACCATCCCCAAAATGACAGAATGATCTCAGTTTGAATCCAAGGCAAACCATTCAACATCACAATAGTCCAAGTCTATGCCCCAACCACTGGTGCTGAAGAGGCTGAAGTTGACCGGTTCTATGAAGGCCTATGACACCTTCTAGAATTAACACCAAAAAATGATGTCCTTATCATCATGGATTGGAATGCTAAAGGAGGAAGCCAAAAGATAACTGGAATAACAGGCAAGTTTGGCCTTGGAGTACAAAATGAAGCAGGGCACAAGCTGGTAGAATTTTGTCAAGAGAATACGATGGTCATAGCAAACACCCTTTTCCAACAACCCAAGAGACGACTCTACACATGGACATCACCAGATGGTCAACATAGAAATCAGATTGACTATGTGCTCTGCAGATGGAGAAGCTCGATACAGTCAGTAAAAACTAGACCAGGAGCTGACTGTGGCTCAGATCATGAGCTTCTCGTTGCAAAATTTAGGCTTAAATTGAAGAAAGTAGGGAAAAGCACTAGGCCACTCAGGTATGACCTAAATCATATTTCTGATGAATATACAGTAGAGGTGACAAATAGATTTAAGGAATTAGATCTGATAGACAGCGTGCCTGAAGAACTATGGACGGAGGTTCGCAACATTGTACAAGAGGTAGCAACTAAAACCATCCCAAAGAAAAAGAAATGCAAGAAAGCAAAATGGCTGTCTAAGGAAGCTTTACAAATTACTGAGGAAAGAAGGGAAGTGAAAGGCAAGGAAGAAAGAGAAAGATACATCCAATTGAATGCAGAATTCCAGAGAATAGCTAGAAGAGATAAGAATGCCTTCTTAAATGAACAGTGCAAAGAAATAGAAGAAAACATTAGAATAGGGAGGACCAGAGATCTCTTCAAGCAAATTGGAGATATGAAGGGAACATTTCATGCAAAGATGGGCATGATAAAGGACCAAAATGGCAGGGACCTAACAGAGGCAGAAGAGAAGAGGTGGCAAGATTACACAGAAGAACTATACAAGAAAGAGCTTAACGTCCCTGATAACTACAATGAGGTGGTCACTGGCCTCAAGCCAGACATCCTGGAATGTGAAGTCAAATGGGCCTGAGGAAGTCTGAGCAACAACAAAACTAGTGGAGGTGACAGTACTCCAGCTGAGCTATTCAAAATCCTAAAAGATGATGCAGTAAAAGTGCTACACTCAATATGCCAGCAAATTTGGAAAACTCAACAGTGGCCACAGGATTGGAAAAGGTCAGTTTACATTCCGATCCCAAAGAAGGGCAATGCCAAAGAATGTTCAAACTACTGCACCATTGCATTCATTTCACATGCTAGCAAAGTGATGTTCAAAATCCTACAAGCTAGGCTCCAGCAGTATGTGGACCGAGAACTACCAGAAGTACAGGCAGGATTTCGAAGAGGGAGAGGAACTAGAGATCAAATTGCCAAGATACGTTGGATCATGGAGAAAGCTAGAAAGTTCCAGAAAAACATCTACTTCTGCTTCATTGACTATGCTAAAGCCTTTGATTGTGTGGATCACAACAAACTGTGGCAAGTTCTTAAAGAGATGGGAGTACCAGACCATCGTATTTGTCTCTTGAGAAACCTATATGCGGGTCAAGAAGCAACAGTGAGAACTGGACATGGAACCACTGATTGGTTCAAAATTGAGAAAGGAGTTCAGCAAGGCTGTATACTGACGCCCTGCCTATTTAACTTATATGCAGAGCACATCATGAGAAAGGTGGGGCTATATGAATCATCAGTTGGAATTAAAATTGCTGGGAGAAATATCAACAACCTCAGATATGCAGATGATACCACTCTAGTGGCAGAAAGTGAAGAGGAACTAAAGAGCCTCTTGATGCAGGTGAAGGAGGAGAGTGCAAAAGTTGGCTTGAAACTCAACATTAAGAAAACTAAGATCATGGCATCCGGTCCTCTCACTTCCTGGCAAATAGATGGGGAAGAAATGGAGGTGGTGACAGATTTTATTTTCCTGGGCTCCAAGATCACCGCAGATGGGGACTGCAGCCAAGAAATTAAAAGACACTTGCTCCTGGGGAGGAAAGCTATGGCAAATCTAGACAGCATACTAAAAAGCAGAGACATCACCCTGCCAACAAAAGTGCGCATAGTCAAGGCTATGGTTTTCCCAGTTGCAATGTATGGCTGTGAAAGTTCGACCATAAGGAAGGCTGAGCACTGAAGGATTGAGGCCTTTGAATTGTGGTGCTGGAGGAGACTCCTGCGAGTCCCTTGGACCGCAAGGCTATCAAACCGGTCTTTCCTAGAGGAGATCAATCCTGACTGCTCTTTGGAAGGCCAGATACTGAAGATGAAACTCAAATACTTTGGGCACCGAATGAGAAGGAAGGACTCCCTGGAGAAGACCCTAATGCTGGGAACAATAGGTGGCAAAAGAAGAAGGGGACGGTAGAGGATGAGGTGGCTGGAAGGAGTCACTGAAGCAGTTGGTGTGAGCTTGGGTGGACTCCAGGGGATGGTGGAGGACAGGAAGGCCTGAAGGAATGTTGTCCATGGGGTCGCAATGTGTCAGACACGACTTCACGACTAACAACAACAATGGAGTACCCCTGGCCTATGGGCCTATTTGGCTGTAGAAGTAGCCCATCTGACCCAGGGGGCCTTGGGTGAGGCATCCCCTGTCCCAGAAGTCCCACCTCCTGAAGGTTAGCAAATCCTGCAGTTCTTAGGTGGGGAATTGTGCACAGGGGGAATCCCCACTGCTTTTTTCTCTACCAATGATTGGATGGGCTGATCTAGTGTGCCAAATTGTCCCATGGACCAGAGGTCCCACCCCCTTGGGGAAAAACAAAATACCAGTGAGCCAGAGGAACTCCAGCAAGGAGTCAGTAGGGGACCCAATTCCACCGCATGTGGGATTTCCCTGGCCGGGCCTCAACATTTCTTCAGCTGGTGCCTTGTTCAGGGAACAGCCATGCATTTGGCTGTGGGCATTTGAAGTGCTTGGCATGTCATCATTGGTAACTGTTGCCATCTTATTATCCTGTATTTTATTCTGCTTTTATAATGTTTGCCGAGTTCCTTTGAGAACCTATTAGCTGAAAGGTGGTATAACTGATGAAGATGATGATGGGTGGGCATCCCCTTTTATGTCTAGGCTTGCATTTTCTCATGGGTCAGGAAGTGGGGATAGTACCCAAAGTAGGCAGATGACCCACTTTCTCTTTCTGCCCCTGCCCCATGTTTTTTCTCTCCTTTTTCTTTCCCATGCAATGTCTTAGCAGGGAAGCAACAGGTCTCTCTTGCCAGAAGTCTGAGCTGATTGCATGCAGGAAGCTTCTGAAGTTGGGCCAAGGGCCAGTTTGCAGTTCAGGCCACGGGCTGCCCAAGCAGTTTAAAAAATTATGTGATCACCCAATAGATACTAGCAGCAGCACAAATATTTAACACACTGTACCAGATTTAAAACAGAACAACTAAAATGCCGGGGAAGTAAAAAGGGACTTCACCAGGTGGTGAAAATAACACAATGTAAGCCTCTGGTGAGCTTCCCTGGGAAGCTTATTCCACAATCGGGGTGCCAAAGCAGAAAAGGCCCTCTTCTTAATAGCACCCCAGCTCACTTCCCTTTGTGGGGCTCCTGCAAAAGGACTGCAGAAGATGACCTTGGGGTCCAGGAAGGGAGATGATACTTTCAAATAACCGAAAGCTTCAACTAGTGATGAAACTGATTGTGTCAGCTACAGAGTAAATTATAGCCTGTCCTGAGCTCTGCGTTTTAACCCAGCAGTGGGTGGTGTCATGAGAGTTCCAGAAAGAGCGGCTTCAGTCCTTAAGTTCTAAGAGGACCTCCTTGCGTACAAAGCTGTCCCTGAAGACACGGACCTGGTATACAGCACCTTCCTAAAAGCAGCTGTCCCAGTGCAGTAGCCGAACACACAGTCTGCAGTCAGAAGGTCCCTCGTTCAGTCCCTGGCAGTCCTCAGCAGTTCAAAGCCACAGGTCGCAGTTGCTTGAAAAGCTGCTTGCTACAAGGCCCAGGGAGTTGCCACAACTCAGAGAATACAATGCAGGATTAACTGCACAAAATGCTGGGCCTGGTATTAATCCACTTCCTCTGTCCCTATTACTTAGATGCCAAGATGATTTCATTTCCCTGGGCATTTGCTTTTTGATCTTTTTCCTTACATGCGTTTGACTCTCTCTTTCAACTCTTTCTTGCCTGGATTTTGAATTGCCACTGGGTCACCCATTTTATCCATTTGGTTATCCAGTGGGCTATTATTGTAATAAACGAGTGCTTTTAAATTTTGTTTTGCAAATCACTTAGAGTATCAGCTGTGGAAAGGTGAGCTAAAGATTATTAAAATGTTCATATAAAAATAAAGTCAAAAGAGAAACAAGAGTTTTGGAGTGGTTGCTTCTAACTCGCAAAGCAACAGAATGAGTGCCGTGCAGCCTGGCGCCTTCCATGTCAGTGGGTGCTGTGTCCACTCCAGGCAGCAGCCAGACCTTTCATGGGGCTGGACTGTCCATGGGGCTGAGCCCAGACCCCAAACTAGGTTTAGCATCAAAGATAACTCCTCTAAATTCAAATGGAAACCCAGAATGGCTACAGCACCTCAATGACATTGAAGTCTTCCGCTACTGCTGCATGAATGATCAGCAAGGTATGAAATTAGGCACTTTAAATGTGCTCAAAGATGCTTTATCTCTCACTTCACAGATATTACTTTAAATAGTTCCTGCAAGTGTTTTCCTTTGAGGAACGCACTGTTCAGCATATCCAGGCATTAACAGAATTCTGAAATATACAGAGAGCAAAGCCAAGGCATGACATCCTTTGGCTCAGGCTGATTTCAAGCCTTTGGGAATCAGTTGCTCAAGATAAATGATAAAGAATGGAGCCTTACAGATTTTCACAGAATGTGGCTACGAAATTATTTGCAAGTGGCTATTCTAGAAGATACTGCCTAGTAGAACCATGAAAAGTGTTCTTGAATGACTAGATCAATAGTTTCCTTCCTGCTTTGGCTAACCTTCAAAACATTCGGGAATCCTGGAACACCTTGAAGACTTCATATAGACTTAATAGATCACAAATCTTGGATATGTAAATTCTACTTTATCAAATGCATGAGTATAATATGCATAACACTGGGGAATTAGTCTGGCTCCGACTAAAAACTGATGACATAGTAGGGCTGCAATGGGATATTTGAGTGCGATCCCCGTTTACCATGCTGGGGTTAACATCCAAGGAAATACGCCAAAGTTCCATGAGAACAATTGTAGTTTTCATAGTAGAACAGGACTTCACTTTTTAAAGATGGTTGCCCTGTATTAGCTTATAGGCTGCTATTCTGAAATTCATTTCTTCGAACTATCATAACTCTCCTGACAATGGAAGGCAGGTCTATCCGCTAGCTTGCTGCCTGTAACAATGCCAAGGAATGATTGGTCAAAATATTAATTTTACCTACCTGTTCTTCTAGTGGTCTCTCTACACTTAATTCTCTGTTGTGTATTGATTTATCTAGAAAAGAGTGACAGAACATACATTTAGTTGTGGTATGCAGGCTCTTTCTCTTTGTTGCTCTGTCTCACACACACCCACATTTGTAGCAAAAAACAAGCCACAGAATTAAACCCTCTTAAATAAGCTGCATATACTCTGAAGATGCTGAAACTATGTTGCAGGGAAGCTTTTAAGTTAGAGAAGGAGCAAAGAGTTTGCTTGGGCCTTGCTTTTGTTTAAGAAATTAGCCATGAATATTTCCTTTGTACTGGAGCCTCCCTGTTCCTTTTTATCAAGAAACAAACCCCACATTTAAAAAAAAAAACCTCATCTAGGAACTGGACCAAAATAGCACCAACCTAATCGGATTGGAATAATCAAGAGATTAAAGGATCTTATGACATTATGAGCAACCCACACAAAGAGAGACATGGGAAATGTCTCTGCACAATGGATAAGGCATTTCCAGAATATGCGTTGGGATGAAGGAAATCTGAAACAAAAGGGAACAAACAGCAACCTTCTCCAATTACTCAGAAAAGGAAAGGAGAGAATTCCCATTCTGCCTTTTAACCTGGCACACTCATCGACCTTGACCAGTTCGAATTTACACCCACCTTGCCACTCCTGTGTCCCCCAGATGTGCTGTACTGCAACTCCCATCATTCCCAGCCAGTGCAGCCCACAGCTGCAGCCAATGATGGGAACTGCAGTCCAACATATCTGGAGAGCACAGTGTTGGGAAGGTGGGTTTAGAGTCTCAGGACTGACTTCAAAGCAGGACAGTACAAAAAGGTCTCCAATTTTTCACATCAGACTCCATCAACTTAGCATGTGGACATCCTTCTTTAAGCAAGTGTCCAGATTCACAAAACCCTTCTTCAGGCTACGAGCGGGCCAACGGGCAAAGGAGTTTACACCTACCCCATACGGGGAAGTTTGAATGCGAGTCCTATGTCAGGCGAAGTTCAGACGAGCCAGCAGAAGGTACCTACCGCCTCGGGCGCCCTCGGGCTTGGGGAAACCACGGACGTGGCCCACGATCAGTGCCATCACTGGAAGCAGGAGCGCCGGCTTCGGAAGCATCTCTCCCCGCGGCTCCCGTGCCCTGAGCACCGTCTGGAGAGAAGGCGAGCTCGCCTCAGCGCCGGAGGTGGAGGGCGCGGGCGGGGAGCCCTCCCTCTCCCGGCGGCTTGAGCAAGACCCCGGCGGCCTCCCCCTTCCCCCGGGAAGGCTTTGTGGCGGCGCCTCCCGCCGGGCGGACCTCAGCCAGCGGCCGCGGGAGCGGCGCCCCGGGCGCTGTCCAGCCTCCTGGTGCTGGAACCGCCGGCGCCGCGCCCGCCGCTGGGCGAGCCCGCTCACTCTGGCGGCAGGCTGCGGAGACGTCTTCTCGCGCCCGCCGCCTTCTTTTTCTTTCCCCGGTCGGTGGATGAGCTGGTTCCCTTCCCTGTTGATCGCCCCGGACAGGGGTGGGAGGAGGAAAAGGGGAGGAGAATTGGAAGGGAGGGGGTCTGCGGATGCGGGAGCATGCGTGCACCACCTGGTCACACACACACACACACTCGCTCACACAGCCCTCTAACCTACCCTTGCCTGTTGCAAAAAGCCTCTCTTATGGAGCACTCAGAAAAGCTTTCACATTCAGAAGCAAAGGTTTCTGCTGCTGGGTTTGCAAGCCCACAACGTGGGCACCTTTCATCCATTCTAGCAGGCACATTGGAACACACGCGCGCACACACCCAAGCTAATGATGCCCACTTCACTGATGAGCAAGGCCTGGGACTCACATTTGTGATGTGTCATTCTTGCTTCTCAAAAGCATGCAGTCTGAGTGGGAATGGCGTTTCTTCCCTGCTGGGTGATTCCAGAAACAAGCTTCAGGCTGAGTCAGGGAACATTATTATCCTGCATCTGGCGAGGTTTAAGGGGAAAAGATCAGTCAGGAAAGTTGGATGCTACAGTGAGATTCCCCTCATTGAATTTCAGGCCCTGCACAGCAGGTCAGCACAGACTTCAAGGCACTTCCTTCATTCCACTCACACCCCTGGCATGCGGTACCTTTCCTATTGATGCACGGCAGGGTAGATCAGTTTAGCCACAGTTCACCACCTGTCTTGTCATAGTCAGGATTCAGAAGTGCAGGCATGAGAGGCAAAAATAATATTTGAGAGCTCCTTATGAGTTTTCAGAGATAGAGCAGGGCCAGAGGTACATATGAAATAGTAGCCATATTAATATATATTAATATCTTTATTAGATCTTTTGGTTGGCCTAATACAAGTATTAATATGACTTCTGGATATTTCCCCCTTATGGCCAATACAGCTGAAGATAACTGTGGGCCATGAGATGTGAAAAGTTTGTTTCCCTTCTCTTGGGTGTTACTTCTCAAGGTCATGGAGGGCACAAGAACAGATGAATTTTTAAAAGCAAGCAAATTCATGAGGATAATAAATCAGTGTTGGGCTGCTGGAGAAACCAACAAATGCCTTCAGAATCCAAATGTCTTTGAATCCAAATTGTGGTTCCACAGCAGACTAGCTTTTTCCAAGTCATTTAAATTCTGCAAATTTGTGGCCTTTTGCTGGTTTGCTTTAAAATTTGTGATGAGATTTGCCTACTTGCAATACTACACACTTGCATTGATGTGCATATGCAAAGATGGAATAAAATTATTTTAATGCCTTTAAAACATCTGCTTCTGTCAAGGAGTGGATGAGGGAATGAAAGATGCCCGACAAGCTGCAAAACACAGATGGAACAGATTCGACAACATCTGAACATCGCAAGGAACAGGAAAATGAATAGAAGAAAAACAGAACAGAATTTATGAAAGACTTTTATTTATAGTAGTTCTATGCCTCCCTTTATGATCAAATCACAGTGTACAAAGTGCACAAATGTACGGCATGCATTAAAACAGCTATTAAAATGCAATTAAAATTGACTAAATTTGGGTTTAAGATACTTGGGTGCCTTTCCTAAGTTTTCAACAGATGCTTAAAATCTGTACAGGATGGTGCCACTCACATTGCAAGCAAGAAATAATTCTGAAGGCAGGTGCCCCAGCAGAAAAGGCCCTTACTTGTCTGCTGTGAGGTGTACACATGCAGGTGATGGAACAAGCAGGAGGCCCTGATCTGTGCATCCCAGTGCATGGACAGGTTGCTGTGGGAGAAGGAATCCCTGCAGGATTTATTGCGGTTTTAGAGTCCTGATGCACCTGATAACAAGCCTATAAGGTATTTTTAAAGCTATCACTTGACAGCTTGGGGGAAAATACTGTGGCTACGGACAGTTTCAGTGTCCAAAGACATCCATGGATTGATTCCAGGCTTGGAAAAAAGAAAAGAGCCGAACAATGCACATTGATTGATTAGGGTATGGAAAGAAGAGCGTGCTCCCACTGGAACCAGCCTGATTCTGAGTAGAGGGAGGGCTCTTCTCTGAATGCCTCTCCTACCAGAAGTTAGTAGTTGTGCTCCAATTTTGGCAAAGTCTCCCTGGAGTTCCATATCTGGTGAATTTTAGATTCAGTTATCTTACTGCTGCTTTCTTGGTTCCTAGGTTTTTCTTTCCTCTTCCTCTTCCCATTTCTGATATTTGTTAGGGAAATTGTAACTGTGTTGTTTGTTTAGCATTGTTTTAATTGAGCTTGAGTTAACTGCCTTGAAATCATTTTTAATTATAAGGTGGTGCACCATTTTTCAAACATGCAAACAAACAAAATTTCTAAAAGAGACAGAGATTATATGCTCTCTTTCACACGCAATTATATATCCCTTTGAAACAGATCATCCTGATGTGCATGTGACTCTGTTTAGTCCTGAACACACTCTGCATGTGCTCAGAAACTGTCTTTAGCATTATTTCACATGTTCAGATGGCTGGTCTAGAGGCTTTCTTCACACATGCTCCACATGGCTGTTTTTATTTCACATGAGTTGTAGATAGTTCTGGACTATCTGGGTCTACTTGGTGGATTCTGGTTCACATTAGGATGCAGTTTATAAAAAGAAGGGAATACATTATGTGGAAATTAGGTTTAGTTTAAAGCCCCTGCAAATGCACAGCACTAAGTGGAAAAATGGCTCTGAAAGATGCTTTATGGAATATCTTTAATCAGGTATCAGTTGAAATCACAGCATGGTGACTAAATTGAAAATATAAAAGAATGAGGCAGGAAACTCAAGCGGATCAATTTCCAAGTTTAATGTAGCTTAATTTTGTGTCCCACCACATCACTGTGTTTATAGGCTAATACAATGAAAATATAGTAGGTTTTAAATTAGGTACTCAGTGTTGCCAAGAATATTTTTAAAAGCCTCACACATTTTCATCTCTTCGTTCCACCATAATTGCGCCATACTCAGTAATATACTGCCCCAGTCCAGAGCCAATTATGGCGAGAGGCCCAAGGAATGAACAATTATTCTCTTGTGTTTCCAGTCAGGACAATATTCAATGTTCTTTGGGTGGATTACAAAAACGTTTGTACAAAAATACAGTAGACACAAAACCCATGAATCTGATAGATGCTATCAATAGATAGACTCTACTGTGTCCTTCTTATTTATTTATTTATTATATTTATATGCTGCTCTGTCTCCTGGGGACTCTATGGGTGGCTTACAATAAAAACCATGAACAGCCAGCATAAAACCATAAAACAAGGATTAGAACAATAAAATCAGATGCACAAAAATAAAATAAAATCCAATATAATATAATATACCAGACAGGAGAAGATATTGAGCAAGCAGCAGTAAGTAGCAGAATAAAACCGAAATAGCCACTAAAAACAAGTGTTAAATAAACTGCTAAAAACTAAACAAAGAAGGCACCAAGTGCATTTTTTTCGAGACAGCAAACCACAAGTAGGTCCTTCTCTTAGCCATTTTCTCCCTTATTTCATTAAGGGGTGGCTCATGGAGAGGGGTCTCCCTTGAAGATCCTTCTTACTATATTGTTCCTTTAAGTACCAAGCTCTTTCACAACAGGTAGTGGCTTCAGTCCTTTTCCTTAATGGTCCTTTTCTTTCTTCTTTTGAAATCTCACCTGTTTGGTAGCTAGTCCACAATAGTCCCTGTGCTGGGAAAAGTTTTTGAAAAGTTCTGTCCAGAACAGCAACTCTCACTCAGGGGCATTTTGCGTAAGCCCCTTTGAGGGTTCGTGTCTGTTCTGAAAACCTTTTATGTATGTGTACTGCTTTGTCCATTTCAGTAGTTTTCAAACTGCCTCCCCTTAAACAATCTTTTACACCTGGATTTGGCTATTGAGGAATTCCTGGATCTCCACCATGGAACGTTTCCTGGGTTGCAGAGCATCTTAAGTTATTTTCTAGGACAGAAATCAACTCCCAGCTTTGCCCTTAAGAGTTTGTTTGGCTTATGAAAATGGATTCTGTGCTCTACCTTAAATACCAGCTCTCAGCACTTAGAGGACTGCAACCCAACTTCCACCCAAACCTCCTTGCGTTTCTAAAAAATATGCTTCCCTTTTTACCTGCATTTGTGCCTTTGTCTCTCCTTTTCTTAAAATAAAAGGGGAATCATGGATATGGTGCAGCTGTGACCTACTGTTCTAACCTAGAATATACCCAACACACCCCTACAAATGGGAATGCTCTTTTGGGGAAGCATGTCCATTACAAACTGATTTTGCTCTTGAGGAACCTGATATGTGTCTTATCAACTCAGGGATTCTAACAGTCAAGTCTGAAAATGATCCTCTTTAACTTTCTTAAATACAAAGTTGTATTTTGGTGCCACCTTCTGGTTTCTTGAGTGTCATCATCTCAAAAGCTTGCCCACAATTTTGTGCTTTTGTGCTTAAACACAATAGTTATATTACTAAATTTCTTAGCAGGTGCAGTTGTAGGTGATCTTTTAATGTTGTTTAATGTTGTTGCATTACAGAGATGTGCAGAAAGTGATGCTGCTGTTACTGCTAAAATAACTGAACAATTATACTCATCCTAAATTTATACAGTTATAAAGCAGGAGTCGTTTTTGCATGGAAGGACCATGAGCTCCATTCTGTTCTGGCACTCAGAACAAATTCCTGGGCTCAGAATACTTTAATTCTAGGTGTGTGCCTTTTGTACCACTCACCAGATGGTGGATCTCTGGGTTTCAATGAAAAACAAAGTAGATCCTGCAAGAATGAAGTCCAGCCATGCCTGGTTTAAATTTTCTCCTAGCTAAGGCCATCTATAACAAAAGGTTTTATAGACAACCATTCCGTACCCTCCAATTATTTGCAATTAAGGACTGTTGTGCATTTATGTTTTATTCTTCCAGTTTGTTGGGAAATTCTGATCAATGTAGCTATAGATTATATTTTATGATTTATTTATGTAAAGGTTTTATATCCCGCCCTTCACAATGTTTCAGGGCAGTAAGACAATACAATACATAAGATGCAGCAACAAAATTACAGTAAATAAAATCCAAACACTATTAACACTATTAGTCACAGGCTCTCAGTCTTGCCTACTTCATGGGGTTCCTGTGAAGATTAAAAGGGACAAGGATCCTGTAAGGTGCAGGATATCACTACAATACATGAGTGAATGAATGAATGAGTGAATAAAAGGAAGGCCTTGCTGGAAAGCCTGAGTTGGGTTAGGCGCAATACATTGTTTAGGGCAGCTGAAAGCCCGTTTATCCCTAATCACAGAACAGGAAGTTGGAAGGGGACATGAAGGCCACTGAGTCCAACTCCCGCTGTTGCAGGACACCACATTGCACTGTCCCACTCAGATGGCTCTCCAGTTTCTTTTTGAATGTCTCTAGTGTGGGAGAGCCCACCACCTCTCTAGGCAGCTGCTTCCACTGTTGTATCGCTCTGATTGTGAGGAAGCTTTTCCTGATGTCCAGCCTGAATCTGGGTTGTTGCAACTTGAATTGATTATTCCATGTCCTGGAATATTCCACTCTGGCATCATCAAGAAGAGATCTTGACCTTCCTCTTTGTGACAGCCTTTCAGGTGCTTATAGAGAGATCTCACGTCCCTCCTCCGTCTTCTCTTCTCAAGGCTGAACATGCCCAGTTCTCTCAGTCTTTCCTCACAGGGCAGTGTTTCCAAATCCTGGATCATTTTTGCTACCCTCCGCTGGACCCTTTCTAATTTGTCTGCATCTTTCTTAAATCTCGGTGCCCAGAACTGGACACAGTATTCCAGATGAGGTCTTACTGTGGCATATAGAACTATCCTTGTGATTTGGAAGTGATTCTTCTATAAATGCATTACAAAATAGCATTGGGCGCAAGGGGTCTGGACTTGTCATGCTCCACCCAATTAAATGCAACAAGAGTGCAAGGAGCCAAAGTATGTTTAATTATTCTCAAAAATAAGTGTGATCACAGGAAATGGCAATTGACCGAGAAAGCATGGTGGAGTCCCCTTTCATAGCTGTGCTGACCAGGTGGTGAAGACAGCAGCCTATTGCGTTGACATCCCCGCAGCGAGTGCTGGTAGGCCCGTTTGAATACAGGTGGCTCCTGCGCTTACCTGCAAGGCTGGGCTACCTGGAGGTTGGGCTGGGACCTCTGGCAGGAGATTGCCCAGTCGCTTGCCACACGCTAGGCTCCAGTTTAGCTGGATGGTGCCTGGGACGGGGCCAGCCTGCCCGGACAGCCGGGGATGTGCTAGAATCGCACCTGCCCTTTTTGGCCGGCCCGGCCCGGCCCGGCCCGCTGGCACGAGAGCCCCGAGGCCTGCTGCGCCCTCCGCTCTGCGGGGCCACGTGCTGCCCACCTGGCCGGGACGCGTCTGCTTCTGGGGCGGCACGCGACGCGATGGCTGAACCGGCTCCCCTTTCGCAGGCGGAGGGCTCGGCCGGGCCGGCTGACGCGCGGCCTCCCGCAGGAGGCACCGGAGCGAGCAAGGGCTCCGTCCGAGCTCACGATGACGCGCCGGCGCCGTTTGTGCGGGACGGCGAGGCTCGGGCGGGCCCCCCGGGCCCGGCCGGGCGCTGCGAGGCCCGGGCAGGCGCTTCCCCGCCCGCCCCAGCGCGCCCGAGGGAGCCCGGAAGTGAGCGCGGCGGCGGCGGGCGCTCGGGC